ATAAAGATATTAACAAGTTAAAAGAGCGGTTGAAGAAATGTGAGGATAAGTACTTTGAAATGAGAAATGGTTTAGTATATAGGAAGTATAAAAGTGAGTTGTTGTTTTACGTCCCTAGTAACATGGAGGATAATGTGATAAGGTCGGTGCATGAGGAATATGGTCATTTGGGTGTAGAAAAAACCAGTGAAGTAGTGTTGAGAACATTTTGGTTTCCCAATTTGAGAGAAAAAGTCAAAAGTTTTATTTCAAATTGCTTAAAATGTATCTCATATTCGCCAGTATATGGTAAAAAGGAAGGTGAGTTGCACCCTATACCTAAGACTCCAATACCGTTCGATACAATCCATATCGACCACTACGGTCCACTGGAGAAGACTGGTAAAAAAAATAAATATTTGTTTGTAATCATTGATGCATTTACCAAATTTGTTAGGTTATATCCTTGTAAAACAACTAACACGGTAGAGGTAATTAGGCATATGAATGATTACTTCAGGTGTTATAGTATACCTAGAAGGGTAATATCTGACAGAGGTTCAACGTTCACGTCTAATGCATTTGGAGAATTCTTAGCCCAGAAAAAAGTAGATTTGGTATTAGTGGCAACGGCGACACCCCGGGCAAATGGTCAGGTTGAGAGAGTAAACCGTTGCATAACAGCAATGCTGGCAAAAAAGACAGTAGATTTAAATAGGTGGGACAGGGTATTGCATGAGGTCGAGTACGCATTGAACAATATGTTATGTGCTTCGACGGGTGAAGCCCCATCTAAGTTATTATTTGGTGTATATCAACATGGTACGGTGGAAGGTGAGTTTAGGAGGTTATTGTTGGAAGTGGAGAAGGACAGGAACTTGGAGGAAATAAGAAAAGAGGCTAAGGACAAGATAGTAAAAAATCAATCATATAATAAAAAATATTATGATGAGAAACATAAGAAACCTACCTTATATAAAAAAGGAGATTTTGTTGTAATTAAAAATACAGATGTTAGTGTGGGGGTGAATAAAAAATTAATACCTAAATTTAAGGGCCCATATATAATAGACAAAGTGTTACTAAACGATCGATTTATAGTCAAAGATGTTGAAGGTTTTCAGCACACTCAGGTGCCTTATGAAGGAGTCATTAGCTCAGATAACATGAGACATTGGGTTAGGAGCTTGGAAAAATGATCCTTTATTATATTTCATGTATTATGGTTATGTTATTATTTATTGATGTTTATATTAAAATGTACTGTTTACTTACTATTTATTTGTTTGTGGTTAATTATTATTTTATGTATACTATTATGAATGTAATACCCTATTATGTATTGTTATAATATTGTTCAGATGTTATTAGAAATTATGATGTTAAGTTAAAGATATTGTGTAATGATCCCAGAGACTGGGATAGGTCAGGATGGCCGAGCTGTGACATTATCACTATTATTATTACTATTACTTTTATCATTATTATTATTATTATTACTTTTCCACTCATGTTAGAGGTTATGATTAATGTTCGTTGTTGTTGTCTTGTACGTACGTGGGACGCACGTTGTTCCGTACTTACTGAATTATTATGTACCTATGTGTATCGAAGTTATTTGAAAGTAATAAATTGTTCTAAATGAAAGTATTTGTTATTTCTTACATAATAAACTAAATATTTTTAAATGACAATAATTGAATTTATAGTTTATTATTTACTATTACTGTTATTGTATTTTCAGGATTCAATGCTACACCACTGTGAAAATAACAGAATCAATCGCCTGTCTTGTAAAGTATTTGAGTAAAAGTATTCTATGAAAAAGTTATACTATGTACTGAAGTGCAATAAATTATTTATTATAGATTATTAGATTAATACATGTGTTAACTGTAAATACAAAATTCTAATAAAAAAAAATATAGCTGTTTTTCTTGATATTAAATAATAATAACTACTATGCCATATTTATAAAATAAGTAAATTTTAAAATACTAATGACCGCTTAGTGTGTGTGTTGTACATTAGGTACATTGTTGTCCAAGCTATAGTATTTGATGGTACTTACAGTTACAACATACACCAAGTACCAAAAGTGCTGAATTCTTATTCTAATTAATTAAGTAAAACTAGAATGCTAAAATAAAAAATTAATTCAGTTTACTAATGATTAAGTTTATCTATAAGGTTAAGGTAAAAAGGTAAAACATAAAAAAAAAGTATTTGAAAGTATATTTAAATACTTTTTAAAAGTATTCGTATTTATACTTTCAAATACTTTTTTTTCCAAGTGTCCAAATACGTATTTTAAATACTATTGAAAATAAGTATTTGTATCTGTACTTGAATACTTTTTAAAAGTATCTTTTACAAGACTGTCAATCGTACACCAAAAGAGCAAAACAATTATAAGCTATTATATATTATAACAAGGGCCCCGATTTTTATGCAAAAATTACTGCTAAATATGCACATATTTATACACTTAAAAATTAAAAAAAATGTAAAAAAAATGCAATGATGTTACGAAATGTGATTTAATTTTATCGTACACATTGTGACAACATAATTTTTTTCCACTAGATAGGCAACACTGGCAAACATACACCTTTTCCGCTTCACTTTTTTTTCGAACGGCATCTCTATATTACTCTATGACATAAACACATAGTTCTGATAACGATAACAAATTATTTCAATATTGAGAGACGTGAGTTTATTCTTTCGTATAACAGTACATTCTTCATGGTTACATTTTTATTTAATCCATTCCTTTAATTTAAAAATAGTAGCTTGGCTTTATAGAAAAAAATAAATATGTCGTTCAATATTATAAGGAAGTATTTTGATTATAGCGATTGTTTAAATAAAATTAATTACCACTGTAAATATTGCGGACAGTTGTATACCCGCAAAAACACAACAGAAATGACTAAACATTTGACCAACAGTAAGTTGTGTAAAATACCACATGAAACCAGAAAGGCTTTATTAAGAGAACTTAATATATTTGACAAACCCAAAGTTGTGGTAAGTATTTTACCTGTTAAATATATCATATTAATTGAAATATGTATTGTTGTAAGCTTATACATATAATGCAACTTTACATTATTAGATGCGAATTGTCATGAGTAATTCTCAGCTGAGTAGTCAAGAAATAGATTCACCAGATGAAGTTGATACTAACAAAATGTTAAATAATACAGAAAATACAACAGTGCCCATATTTGATGTAATGAAATCATTTGTTGGTAGAATGGATGACTCTTCTAAGGTATTATGATGATAAATACCTATTATATAATTTTTTTTTAAATACTAACAATAATAATAAAAAAAAATACATAGAGCCATCTATAATTTTAATGGTTATAGATATATTTTGATCTTTACCTTTACCTAAAGTTAAATGTGTGCCTAATTTGTCTGTTAATTATATACATTAAATTTAGATATTTAATTTATAAAAATAATCATAAGAATAATATTATTAATAATTATAAACAATAATTCTTATAGACATTGTAGTTGGTGTAGTTGATTAAAATTAAAAATGACTATTCTGCATAGGTACACAACTATCAATATGTTACTAACCTAAGTACACTATTTCCAGAGTACATAATATAAAATTGTATCAATATGGTATTATTAATAAATATAAATTATATTTTTAATGAAGTATGATCACACATTTTTTAAAAATTTAAGTGTTAAGAATAAAATATTAATATACCAAGAAAATTATTTATTAATAATATTATAATTAATGTATACTTCCAATGTTGTATTATTAATATCAAACATTGTAATAGAATATTATTTAATATTTATCTTAAGAACTTTTAAAAATACATTTTCACTAACAAATTATATTTTACTTTTTTATAGAATGAATTAGACAGATTATTAGCCAGAGCTATAATTTCATCAGGAACACCATTCTCCATTGTAGAAAATCCTCTTTGGGAAAACTTTTTTCAAAAACTTAGACCATCCTATAAAATACCCCAACGAAAAGTGTTGTCTGGTAGATTACTAAATATAGAATATGAAGAAGTAAAATCTGCTGTTGAATTACAAGTAAGGAGTTCAAAGTTCTTATCACTTCAATTGGATGGGTGGTCTAATTTAAGAAATAAAGGCATTATTAATTTTATTATTTCAACTCCTACTCCTTATTTTGTTAAATCTGTTGAAACAAAGTTAGAAGCTCATACTGGTTTATATCTTTTTGAAGAAATTGATAAAGTTCTTACATCATACGGAAGTACAAAATTTTTAAGTGTCATAACTGATAATGCTAGCAATTGTAAGAAAGCTGGATTATTAATTGAAAAAAAATATCCATATATATCTTCAATAAGATGTATGTCCCATACATTACAAATTATTATATTTCAAATGTTTAATGTGTCTCACTTGTTGGAAAAGGTTGGAGACCCCTGCTATATAGGTTTTGAAGGGTAAACATTTTTTTCAGTCTCTTAAACTTTGAGATGCCAAGTTTCTGCTACTCTTTATATTTAGTATTTCCATACATAATGATAGACTTCATTCAAGACTTGACAAATTATTTATTAGAATAGTACGGTTGCTAGTTTTAATTTGTATGTTAATACTATAATTTTGGTGTCAGCAAATAAGCTGATACAACTCTGATTTTGGATTTCCTCATTGCATTTATTTACAGTGTAAAGTCCTCTAATTTATTTTGTGAATTCCGTTGAAAAGATAGGCATCTCTGGTGGCATCAGCTTAATTTTTACTATGTTTCTTGTTATAAGAATATATAATAAGATTACAATATTCATAACATTTAATTTAGAACCGATTTTAGACAAAATTATACCAACATGATATTTATGTGTATGGAATAAATAATGAACTTAATTAAAATATCCTTAATTGTCTATTTAAAAAAATAACAGTTGTTGTAAACAGTCAAAGTACAATACTAGACACATTGTTTACAGTTTCCAAGGAATATTTTTTCAGTCTTGTAAAATGTTATATTAGGAGTTGGTTGTTCGTGAAGAAACTGATTCCATTGAGTCTTTTTTCATTCTCGATGTACAAAAATAATGAAGATTCAAATGCCCCAACAATACTAACATTATTAACAAAATTATTGGAATGCAACAGAAAAACTGAATGTAGTCGTCTTCAACATATTCATCGTCTTGGTCACAATAACTGCAATTATCCAAATAAAATAAAATATTGATTACAATATGCCTTGTTTGTCGATAAGTTAGTATATTGTGTTGATATGATTCATAATGCCATACCTATAGACTCACAGTATAATGATAACCTAATATTAAATTGCGGGTGTAGGCCGCCGTGGTGCCATGATTTGTGCTCATATATAACTACTAAGGACAAGTCCACACTAAAGTCTAAATAACGTCTAAAGTGGATACCTTAGAAAATGAGAACGAAACACATTGATAATATGAGAAATTAACTTTCCCAGACTGTCCGGTGAGCGGACATCTGCCATCCATAGACCGGATTTCAAAGGACCATATACGTTTTATCGGATCATGTTCGAAACACATTGTTTTTAATGATTATAAGGCACATTATAAGTTTTATAACACACCACAGTACCCCAAAATCTTGTGATTGTATCTACATGAAAATGGATTAAAAATACGCTGTGTCTAGATACCCGGGGGCCCATGTAGATAAAGCGTACACGGAACCATCCGTGTATATAATCGATACCCGGCTGATTTATGGGCATGCGCCTTAGACACCATAATTTTATATTGTTATATATAATCTATCGGCGCATGATCATCTAGTTACTAGTTGCTATAATAAGTTGCCATGATTAATGAACAAAAACCTATGCAAAAACATGACATAAAAAATTAAAAACGTCAAAAAATGCAAATTAAAAGTTTCATAAATGGATTCGTAGTTACATAATTCAAATTATGTACTTACGAAGCTACGTTTCACAATCCCCCCAAAAAAATGCACTTTTCTACAAATTCATAGCTCTAGTTTTCTGTTTCATCAAGCAGCTTATTTTGGATTAATTTTTTATAAGCATTTAAATCCATTAATTCTACACAGCAATATTATTGCTGAAGATATTTCTGGTGTTAACTTACGGTTGGTTTGAGAGAAAAGTATATACTCGCTAAACGTTAAAAAAGTTCTAACACTTATTATAGACATACAATTATGGCAAACTCTAAGGCGCATGCTCATAAATCAGCCGGGTATCGATTATATACACGGATGGTTCCGTGTACGCTTTATCTACACGGGCACCCGGGTATCTAGACACAGCGTTAAAAATAATGGTCTTGACCTTCAATTATCACTATTCTATTTAATTTTTTCAATGTGCGATTGTGTGAAAGTGCGTTAGAAACGAATTAATTAAATGGAAGATAATGCACGTCACTTGGAACATGACTTAACGGCCTTTAATAACAGTTATAAGTTATACCCGCTGCAATGACGCAAATAGGCAACATCTTCAGGGTGGTGATTATCAGTCTCCAGATATTTTTTGTTAGTTTAGTATAACCCTGTAGGATCAATTCAGAACAATTTATCAGCATGTACCATACATAAATAGTGTATAGCGGCATAAGTAATAGCTAATATTTAGTACCTATGTGGTTTGAGGTACTCGATGTATGTAAAATAATATTGAAATTGATACAGAATCGTGTATAGGTATGTAAATGGTCATCATAAAATCTACACGGTTTCCCAAACTCACTGAATAGTTCCCTACCGAAACACAGCGTATTCGAGTAAGTTATTTAATGTATTCAATATTTTATATCATTAGCCACAGAATATTATTGCTAATAATTGTTTTTGGTTATAATAAATACCTACTCATATTAAAAAACTAATGATAAACTACTCATACCAACTGTTTAACCGTTGTGTATAATTATTGAAAATCACAAACTCACTGGGCGTATGAGTCTGTGTCTGCTGCAGTCTCGTTCAAAATCGGCGGCCGTGTTAGGAGGTTGGGTTTTGTTTGGTAATCCAGTGACTGCGTACTGTGCAGCTGCTGCTGTGGTGGGTTCGTTATTGGATCGCTGTCTGCAGTCTTGGTGGTCATGGTTTGGTCGTCAGTTTGGCATAGTGCAGGCTGTGGCACCAAAACAGTCTCTGTGACCTTGATTTGGACGTTAGAACGACTGGGCGCCGGCTGAGTACGGAAGATCGGGCCACCTATCGACGATAATCTATCGTTTGCAATCGCTGAGGGCGCTGACGCTAATATCGCAAGACACAAAAAAGCGGCGTGCATAACGTCTTTGTTATGCATTAATATATACTAACGGTACAATTTGTTCGTATGTTGGATAGAACTGAATAAAATATAACGCTGTAACATTAAAACTATCAAAATATATTTTTATTGCAAGAGGCATAAACGTTATTGATTTGATAAACATTGGAATTTAATCACCTATGTTACAGAATAATATGATAGGTAATTAAGGTGTGAATTACAAAAGTATAATATTGGCCTTTGTATTAGTGAGTAGTTTATAAATATATAGTAATTCATCGATGGATTACCGTACGTATGGCAGAGATGGTGACAAGTTGTTTACAAGGATGAATTGACATCAAATAAAAATTATAAAATGTATGTTGGCTACAACGAAACATTCTCTACAGACCTATCACATAAAGGTGGGTTTCCACTACATACGTGTACGTGTACGTGCATAAAAATACTTTTCTGTGATTGGTTGGTATACTTGGTAATCTTTTGGTATACCAGAGTGTTATACGTTCTTACCACAGGCCACAACCATGATACCATGAAGTTGGATCTAGTTCAACTATTTCCGTTCGAACGGTCCACTCTGGGTGATAGCAGCAATCACAAATTTAAAAATCTTTAAATAATTTTTAATTTTTATATAATTTTATTTTATTTTAATATAAATAATTCCTTCAAGGCTTTAAATTATATTCTTTAAAAAGTTTATTTACACTATGAAGCCGGGCCAAGTTATAGTAAGTGAATTTACCTATTAAGAGGCCGTATAACACTGGTATTTGTTGTCTTCGTCTTACGAGTGCGTAACATAACAAATTTACGCTCAGCAGAAGACGTGTAGCTTCATTAGTTTAAAAACTAGAGTGAATTGACCTATTATGAAACTATGGTAAGAATATTAGCTGTCTTTGTATGTTGGTTTTTTACGATAGTTCAATTTTTTAGCAAGTTATGCGTATATAATATACCGTAAATTAAAACCGCTCATAACTCACTTAAAAACTGAATTATTGTACCAACACGAAGCTACGAGTGTTTTGTAGAGTATAAATTTGTTATCTTACGCACTGGTATGACGGATACAAAAATCCACGTGTACGTCCTCTTAATGTTTAATCTAGATAATAACTATATAATTTATGTATGATTTTAGGGAGTGCTGTGCAATGTTTGCAAACAGATAATCAAAATAAATGATAATAATCATATTTGCTCATTTTGTAATTTATAAAAAATAATTTATGTTGTACTTTTGTACTTAGACCTAATAAGATGTATTAATTCAGAGTGAATTAGTGATTTATGAAATTTAAAAGTAAGAATATTATCTAGGGCCATTTATAGGCTGTTTTTGACATTTTAATTTTAAAGCATTAAAAATTATAATAAGTTGTTAACTTATGTTTATAAGTTGTTTAATTTTTAAATTTTCAAAACTCGCTTTAAAACTAAAACATAAAAAAAAGCCCATGAGTTTCCCTGAATAATTACCTTACCTTTAAAATGTATAATAGCTAATTCAATGGTTAATATAATATAATATAGCGTAGGCGTGCGCTCAGGAGTCAGGTGTCAACGTTGTTCAGTGATACATATTGTTTTTTTTAAAGATTCCATAGGTAGTTATTCTAATTCATTTGTGGTTAACATTACACTGTAAATCAACTAGCTAACAAATCCTAAGTATTAACTTATCTTTTTCCAGTTATTTTGAAAAATAATACATTAAGTTAAAATTATGTTTATACATAGGTATTTAAAACTGTATATAAAACTAATTTATTAAATGACTAATTAAATAACTATAAACTACAGTTATTAGAAGGAATATTATAGAATTCTTGGCCAAAATATTTTGTTATTATTTTAAAAAAAAAATAAAGTTTCATTATAAATGTGATCTAGCCACCCTAACTAACTAAAGATAATTTGTTTCATTAACTTACACATCTCTGCTAGACATATTGGCTTCTGCTTGACCATGGTATTTAGAATTTTGTGTAATTTGAACATAAATTCATTTTTAATTAAATGGTAAAGTATTATATTATAAGATAGATACTGGTGGATATTATGTATTTTTTTTTAAAAATAGTTTCAACTAAATACACAGTTTTGGCTGGTGATGTGGGGAGTGGTCACTTAAAATAGTAGCCTGACCTGAAATCTTTGCACGCCTATGCAGGCTATGCTTATTAGATTTATGTGTTTATTTTATAGTAAAAAATGTAATAATTATAAAATATGTTTGCATAACGTGTTTCTTTTCTTTCAACTCAAGCTGAACGCCCAGTTTTCCAACCAATAAATCCAAAAAGTAAGATGGCAACAATTTGAAAATATTTTGTTGTAAAATTGTTTTTACAGTTATTACTGATAATAATCATTTAAAATATCTTGTTTTAGCTCAACGGACACCCATTTCGACACCCATTTCAACAAATATATTCCAAAAATTTAATGAAGATTTTTTAAGCGATACGCATGAAACAGAATATCTCGAAGAAGTAATTGAACAGAAAGAACCAGAACATGATGATGACGATGATGTAGAAATTTTGTCGACATTAATAAATGCAATTCGTCAACGTCATCCTTTGTGGGACCATAGGCTTCCCTTATCGGCTAGATTCGAACCCATAAAAAAATCGTTGTGGAATGAAATATATGTCGAATTAAATGGTATGATTATTTGACTATCTAAAATGTATGTTTAAACCATTAATATATTTTTCATTAATTTAATATTGAATAAAAAATATAAACAGGTGAATATACTATTGATATTTTAAAAAAGAAATGGAGATATTTAAGGGAAAAATATACTAGAGAAAATAAAAAACCAAAAAGTGGCAGTGGTAGTGAAAAAAGAAGAAGTTGGGTACATATGCAATCTTTGCAGTTTTTGGATGATATCAGCACAAAAAATAAAAAGTAAATAATATACTAATTTTGGTTTATTAACTAATTAACATTATATTATTATTAATTTAATTAATTGCAAATATATCATTAAACATATAAAATACATAATTAACACAATACAATTGCTCATCTCATTTAAGCTTGCTTGTGATGGAGGTGAGACTGTCAGAGTACTTATGTTATAGATAAAACTTTTATATAAAACTTACATACATATTACATATCAATAATAATACCCACTTTAGACATAATAAATAATTGTAATATTTCATATATTAATTAAAAATAATTTTTAATTCTTTTAAAAATATAGATTCATACTTAGCCGCAAATTTTATAGCTATTGTTGAAAATCTGAAATTAAACAAGTTTGTTATTATCGAGTTTTTGGAGGAGGAACAATGTATTGAAATAGTCCCAAGTAACTGGATCATTGTTGATAAGATACTACAAAAATTTACTTGTAGATGGCCGGGAAGTAGTAATGCTTCCCGCTATACAGCCTCCCAAAAACCACCAACAAATGTATGGGATAAATTTGAATGCATTCCACGAAAGTTTTCTGGTTTGTGATTCAACTTAAGAATATTATGTTTAGGCTAAAATATTTATTAAAACTTCTTGTATTTATTTCAAAACTTTCAGAATCATATGAGGTAGCAAAGAAAAAATTAACAACATTTTGTATTACCAGTTCAACAGAGGTGGAAAATGTAGATACGTCTAGAAAACGTAAAAAAAAGCAGTTCTTTGATTCTTCTAACAAGAACACTGAATATACAAGGGATATTGAATTAAGTAAAGGCGCAAATAAAAGTAAGTTCAAAAACGTGTAATCAGTTGTGTTTGGAACTTAATTATTAACAAAATCAACAAAAGTTATGTTAATACTTGTGTACATTTAAAAAGTCACACATATTATAATGCATGTTTATACATAATATATTCAGGTTAATTTTTTGACGACACAACATTGTGTACATTCAATGTACATTTAGTTTTTGAAAATGTATTAACTTTAATACTTTTCTGGTATAAAATAAAGGGGTTGCTATTTAAAAATCAAAAGTTGTTACTCAATTAGGGTCAAACCAAAGGGATGAAAAATATCATACTACTCAAATAACCAAGATTTGACTATTTGAGAACATTTTCCAAAAGAAGAATTCCAAAAAAGTTAATGCTTTTTCAAAAAATGAGTGTTATGTAATTAAAAAATCACCTTGTATATTTTTTATTGTGTTTGTATGATAAAAGATTATTGATTATTTACAGCACAACTTCTAGATAATAATACATTTAATTGTAATCTAGGATTAAAAAGGAAAAATAATAATAAACAAATTGATTCAGACGGTAGTGATTCAATACTTCATCGCAATTACTATTTATCGTCCATGGATTTAGAGAAAGCTCCAAAACCTCCTGGTATTTCTATTATTTAGTATTTTATTAATTTTTTTTTTTTTTTTAAAAGACTTAAGGGCCGTTCTTACTACGTATGGCAAAGTGCTGGTGAGCACTATAACTGATAATAATTATCCTGTAGAATGCCACCATAGTGCAGTTAGCACTAACCGGCACTATGCAATACATTATAAAAACGGTCCTAAGCATTATAATGGTAAGTAATACCCTCATGAATCATGACTAAGCCCAAAAGCTGTTATATGATTAAAAAAAATAATAATAAAAATAATAAAAACATAATGTTATACAACTTGTTTAATTTTTCTAAGTTTATTTTAAAGCTATTAATAATTACTACAACTGAATTTGCTTTTTAGGCTTATTTGATATGTGCAGCAGTAAAGAAAACTCACCTGATATAGTGGAGCATTCAGAAATAAATTATGATAAAGACAATTCTGAACAAAATACTGGTAAACTTAATTATATATTAATATATTATATATTAATAACTATAATAATAATATTCTTATGCTAAACAGTATTGTCCCAAAATGTACAACAAAATTTAACAAATATAAGTCCAACATCTATATCAAGTTATAATAATATGATGGATAAAATGCAATGTATCAGTCACACATTAATGAAAGGTAATAAAAATGATTAAATTAGTAGAATTTTTTTTCTGGACCTTGTTTATTTTTGTATAAGAATGTAACTTGTATGCGATGAAAAGTAATTCAATTGTTTTCACTTTATTTGAATTATACAGTACCTATATTATATAATATATATACCTCCAATTTTAGTGTACATTTAATATAATATAATAATAATCATATATTATTATTATAATTTTTCCTATAATTTTATATTAATAAATATAATATTTTTTTTAAATAGCATGATATATACAAATGTATGCATATGTATGATATTTACAATATTATATTTAACATTGAATAATTTGATTTGAAGAAATTATAACACTATTATATGGTTAAAAATTAAAATACTCATGTAATGAGTAGATAGCACTGCTTTCTTTTGAGTATTTTGGGACGAATGTGAGGAATTGGTTCAGATGAATCATTAGGCTGATTGGGCGTTCAGTTAAGGTCTTGTGGTTACAAGTGTAAGATTTTGTAGTCGAAGCACTTTTTAAATTGTAGCAATATTTTGATGAGAATAAATATTTTAAATTTTATAAATTTTTCATTTCTAATATTTAATATTATATTAAAAAAATATTAAAAATATGCTTTGTGTGATGCAAAGTAAACTTGTATATCAATTCAAACATCACATTTTTTAAATCGAACAACTAGAAATAGCTTAATTTTTGTCAGGCGTATAGCTATTTTTCCTATGTTCCGCTTATGTTAGACAAAAACAAAAAATCATCGCTTCCAATCCCCTTAAATACATTTTCCACTCTGTTTAGAATTTAAAAAAATTGTAAATTGTTGTATTTTCAGTGTTTAATCAAATGGTTTCCCTTCAAAAGGATATAAATGTTATAAAAATTGATGTTATGAAAAATCAAAATTTAATAGCAGAAGTAAATGACAGACAGAACAACCAAACAACTCAAAATCAAACTGTTGAAAATATAACTCGGTCAAATTTAAAAATACCGTTAGGGACCATGGAACAACTTGACAGTCTTGAAGCCGATGAAGAACTAAAACAAATCTTAGTATGTTTTTTTTTTTATTGTTATTATTTTATTATAATATAAAGTTTTTTTTTTCCTATAAATAGGCTAAAGTTATTCGCAGAAATGGAAAGTCATTTGACTCAAAAAGAACAACATATCAAATTATGAAGATAGTTTTTGAAAATCGCATGGCTGAGGGATTGAATATGGAAGGAAGAGGAGAGAAGCGAGCATTTGGAAAAATGGAAATTTGTACAATAATAATAGGTATAATACTAAAGTAAAAAAATTAGGTTAAAACTATACAGTAGAAAATCAATAATTTTAATAATTTTAATTTCATCAAAAACTGACCATGACTGTATGCGACTTGTCTGGTGGTACTATAGCAGTCGTTCAAAATGTTCAAAAAAAACATTTTTCAGACGAATCGATAAATTGGATGAAAAGCAAGATATTGAATGAAAATAAAAATATAATAAACCAAACAATAATGTAAATAATAAACCAAATAATGATATAAATAATACCAGTAACGATAATGGCAATAATTTAACCAAAATAGATATAAGTGTATTTGAAAGTAAATCAACTAATGATTTTGAAACTATAAAAATATACACTAATGATAGATTCGGAGAAGTGAGATAGGTCGATGATGAAGGTAAATTAATATAAAATAGTATATTATTGGGCACTGAGCAAAGAAAGGAAAGGAACAACCTATATAACACATAATTCCAATTTCTGTCTTGATGTCTTGTACGAATAGTGGCTTGTGTAGTTGTGTCTTACACTTTTCGGTGGTTCCGGTTCGTCTTAACGTCTACGTTAAAATATATGTGCGAGTGCTGCAGTTTTTTGTAATAAACATTAATAAATTAATTACTGTTGGAGTTATGACGTATCCAGTGACAGACGTGGTAGTTATGTTGTTGGAGACGCCGTTTCGACGATGGCATTCTGATAATAAAAATGATTTGCTAAAAGTGGGTAAGCCTATTCCGATTTTGTCAGCTTTGGCTCCTGACAAGAAACTAAGTAAGGTATTCTGTAGGTCATTTAATCCAAATTTATATCAACAACACTCTTGGTTATGTGGGAGTCATTATATACAAAAATTGTTTTGTTGGACATGTTTGTTGTTGGGTAAAATGAAGTCTGTGTGGAATAATGTTGGGTATTATGATTTGAAAAATTTATCTAGAGGTATACAAGTACATCAAACATCAAAAGAACATATTCATAATGATTTAGGATTAAAAAACCTGGAAAAAAATTCTTTTACTATACTAGATGTTGTTAATGAACATGGTAATTTGTTTAAAAAAAATTATAATGAGAATGTGAGATTAAATCGTTTATTTATGGAGCATTTAATCAATTTGGTTTTATTTTTGGGAAAACAAGAGTTGGCATTTAGAGGTCATGATGAAAGCAGTGATTCATTAAATAAAGGGAATTTTAGAGAGTTGTTTGATATGCATAATATTAGGTGTACTCAAGAAATTCAAAATCATTATAATAGTATAAAAAACATATTTTCAGGTATGTCCAAGTCCATACAAAATGATTTAATTTCATGTATTTCTGAATTTTTAATAAACCAAATAAAAAATAAAATCAAACAATGTAAATTTTATTCCATTCAAATTGATGACACTACAGATATCAGTCAAAAAACACAATGTTCAATAATAATTAGATTTGTTACAGATAAATCTGAATTGGTTGAGCGTTTCTTGGGTTTTCATAATGTTAGTGAAGACCGCACGGCTCAAGGTTTATTTAATTTGGTTAATTCTGTTTTACATGAGTTTGATATAGAAAATAAATTAGTTGGACAATGTTATGATGGGGCATGTGTAATGTCTGGGCATTTAACAGGTTTACAGGCTAGAGTTAAGGAAGTTGCACCTAATGCTTTATTTACACACTGCCTAGCTCACAGATTAAATTTGGTATTGCAACATGGTTGTAGTATAAATGCTAAATGTCGTATATTTTTTGCTAACCTCACTGGTATCGCTGCTTATTTTCACAATTCCACTTCACGTACTAATTTTGTAGATACTATTGTAGGGAAAAGAATTCCTCAATTTGTTCAAACAAGATGGTCCTCACGGTCAAAAATTTTACACACAATAGTTAATGAGTGGTCTGGGTTTATTAATGTTTTTGACTGTATTAGCAAAGATCCAAAATCGTCATCTGAATCTATTTGTGGTGCTATTGGTCATTTAAAAAATTTAAAAACTTTTGAATTTGCTTTCTTAGCACTGATATTTAGTGATATATTCATATATACTGACAATTTATTTAACATACTCCAAAATAAATCATTTGATGTAGAATTTTGCTTGAGAAGAATAAATATAACATATGATCTTATAAATAAAAAAAGAAATGAACCTGAATTTTTAAAATTATTTAATCAAGCAGTTACTCTTACAAAACCTCCAAAAGCTACAAGAAATGAATCTAACAATCAATCAAATTTTAAAATATTGTTTTATGAAATAATTGATAATATTTTAATGCAATTAAAATACCAGATTTCAAGATACAAATAAATTACTTTTTTTGCAGTTAGCTGATGTAACTAAATTTAAAGAATATTCTTGTACATTTCCTGTAAATGCTTTAAATAATTTGAAATCAACTTATCCTAATATATTTTATAATATTAATACATTAAAAGTTGAATTGGAGGTTTTGTATAGTGATGTAAAATATCAAAATTTATTACACATTTATGACATGGTTAAAATTATTGAACAAGATGCATTGAAAGACATTTTACCTGAAGCTTATAAATTATTTATTCTTATTTTAACCATACCATCAACTAGTGTATCAAATGAAAGAAGTTTCTCTTGCCTCAAAAGAATTAAAACCTGTTCTCGAAATAGTATTTCACAAGTCCGTTTAAGTTCTCTTTCAATACTATCAATTGAAAAGTCCTTGATTAATCAACTTAAAAAAACTGAATCATTTTATGATGATATTATAAACATGTATTCTAGTCAAAAAGATAGGAGTATAAATTTAACATACAAAACATAATAGTTTTAGAACTAGACAGTAGACATACTTGAAGTCCTTTTCAGGACTAGGCATACCTACTCAAAAGGTCCTTTTAAGGACTAAGCTACCTACTTAAAAAGTTCTTTTCAGGACTAGGCATACCTACTCAAAAGGTCCTTTTCAGGACTAAGCATACCTACTTAAAAGGTCCTTTTCAGGACTACCAAATTTTAAAATGCTCTGTTTATTACCTATCTATCACTTATACTATATTATTGACTATACGAAACAAGTATATTATTAGCATTCATACAATTATAATTATTTTTATATTTTTAAATTATATTTATTGTGAATTCTAGTTTTGTATGGTGGGGGGGGGGGGGTGATACATAGGTTGCCTCACCGAAAAAATACTCCTAGAACCGCCACTGGTACGACTCCTATTTCATTATACAGTACATTTTAAAAAATATGCCAACCGTCAAGTACGAATTAATTCTTAACGGGACAAAAGTTATGATGCTCGAAATAAAATATGGGGGCTTAAACATTAAATTCATAGATGGTCATAATTTTGTACAGTCAAAGTTATCTGAATTTCCGAACGTTTGGGCTTACGGAATCAAAAAAAGGATACTTTCCACATTTTCATAATACACCGGAAAATCAAAGTTATGTAGGACCTTTACCAGAGAAAACGAACATAATTCTATGACGACGAAACACCGAGCAACATTTATAAATTGGCACGACGAATTGACAAATAAAAATTACGTATTTGATTTCAAGCTAGGAATAACCACGGCTACAAAGTTACAATGAGTTACACAAATACACAATGCACATTTTGGATACAACACTTACAATCAAAACAAATTGTATCCAATTAATATCCATAAAATGTCCATTCAAAGATTATAATATTACATAGTAGCATTATTTTATAGTAACTATTAGGTGATAATGAGTAAGATATTAATATTTTAAAACACAATAATTTTGTAATTTTCAAATTTTTAATTTTTAATTTCCTTGTATATTTATGCAGTCCAAATATTGTATTATACAGCATATATTTTTTTAGGAAATATATGTGAAGTCAAAAATTGGTAGGTCAGAATATTGGTTTAGTAATTGATTTTAACAATAACTGTTGATGCAATTCAATTATTGCAAAATCACGTTCACGTACCATTTCAAACTCATATCGTGAAGAGCTTATCGTAAAGCTAAAAGCGCAGACATTTATACTAAGATATATTATGTAACATATAAAATGAGAAAAAATGATTTCGTATGGAAGGTACAAAAAAGCATTGGCATGCCAAATTTTAAATATTTGGCTGACTGCAGACATTTTCTTGTTTATATTATTCAAAATTTTAAAATCTATATTATAGCCTATACAATTTGTCATATCGGTACTTGTATTCCTAAAAAAAAGTGTTAATGTTTCTATCATCTAATTCAGTGTTTCCCAACTTATTTTAGTCGCGGTTCATTTGCAGGAACTAGAACTCTTTGCAGCCCATATATTTTTTTTCATTATATTATTAAATATCTTAAATATCTAATCATAAGGTAAGGAAACGTACTAGTGAGAAGAGAAGATGATCAAAGTTTGAATCTTAATTCAAATCAAACATACTTTTAATCAATTTATATTTTCCTAAATTTCTCACGAAACCCTTGGCGCCAGCTCATGGAACCTTTGGTTTCAATGTAACAGTTGGAAAACACTGATCTAAATGACCGATCTAAAAGTAGTTTCTTCGTGAAACAATAAAAATACAAAATATCTCTGAACGTGTCTATATATATACGTATATATATATATACGCCCGGTTTATTTTTGTTAATTTGTAAGTGGGAGATACTAGGTAGGTACCCACAGAATTTTTTCTACAAGAATCTTAATTTTATAGTATAATTCATAAATATATTCACCATTCCATTAATTTAACCGTGTAATGTTGTCAATAATATTATAAACGGCTAGTCATAGAGAATTATAAATAATTTGATTTAAATTTTGTTTGTTGAAAATAGCCATTTTATATTAGTGTTTTTCTTCAAAGAAATTAACGTTATGTTGAGTCAAGTAACTATTTAAGTGACTACTTAAGTTGACTATGTTAATTAAATTTAAAAAATAATAATTTTTTTGGCTCGTCTAAAATTGTCTACAGTTCTGTTAAAATATGTGTGATACCAATATAATATAATCGCAATTTGCAAACATTTAATAGTGCTATTGAAATATTTTAGTACAAATTAATTTTATATACACTTTTAGTACCTATTTGATATTTCATTTTAAATTTTATAATATAATATCATATCATCATCATCATCAGCATCTAACATTTTAACATATTTTTACTCTTTGTATTTGTCCATTTTACTGCATATAATATATTATATAGGTACTACTTGTATATAAACAAATATTTTTTGTAACGGGTTGCAATACTTGGACGATGGTTATTTATGACTTCTTTTCATGATTATTATTCACTTAACGTGGAACACTTACATGCTATAACAGCGGTTCCACATATACACACATTTGGAAACACTCAGAACTTGCAGGACGCTATGTCTCGCCAGAGGTTCTTTTAGTGTACAGACTTGTCAATTTTGAACTCTAAGATCAAAAACATACCATCAAATTATAAATCATGAAACCAACGATACATTACATTGGTTATACGTGTATGCAGATCTTACATACAAAACAATGAGATCTGTCGATTGTTCAGTTGCAAATTAACTGTTGTATCTTCAAGTACTATTGTCCAAGTAAATGCATCGTTTTCTATTGACTTATATTTAACTACAATAGTAGCCAGTAGGTACCTATATCATAGTTAAAAGTGAACAAACAACACACACTAAATATAAATTAATATTTTGTGTTTTAATAAATTTGTATTTCATATCAGGTGCATGATAATAATATGATATATTATTATTTCAAACTGACTCTAAGTGTATAACAATTAATTTTAAATTATATTAGCAATATTATTTATGCAAAACTCGGTAGGTACACATTTTAAGCTTGAGTATGACACATAGGTTTAACAGAATATTTGACTTGTAACATACTTATTGAAGCTATATCTTTTCATTATAATTTTTACTTATTATCATTATTCATTGCTTCTCTATGACTAACAACTTTTAAATAGGTATTAAAATTAGTTAGCTCTTCTTTAATGTATTCATGTGTTACCATAAACTTTCTTTGATAGGTACTTAATAGATTTGAACAGTAATTTTTCATTTTTTATTTTAATTTAAAAATTAAACAAATAATAGACCGAGGTAAATATCATAGTTAATAATTTTTAATCAAAATACTGAATATGATTTGTTTTAATCCTGGTTTTAATATTATTGTCAATATCTAAGGTTTTAAACCGTAAACCTGTACCTTCTTTTCCTTTTTAATGAATTTTGACAAGTTTTAACTTATTAACCTTAGGCAATTTTCAGTTATTAATTATCCCAGAAATTTAATTCATTCCTATAAAAATAGCATAAATTTAAATTTTTATGTATAAAATTAAATAACGTATTAGGTATATAAATTATATAAATTATATTTTATGTAGCTGATAGATGGGATGTCAATAAAAAGTACCGATACAACAAATTACTAACAAGGTTGTATAATATTTTATGGAAATTGTTTATTTTCCAGTGCAATTAAATATTTTTTTGTAGAAAATTTTTAATAATATTTATATAATTCATAAACAAATTTGATTAGATGTATGTATCTACTCTTGATTATTATTAATAAGTTTTAAAATCTATTATATAGAATATATAATTTAAATACTTATTTTCAAATCTTACTTTAATCACAATAAGACAATTTTTATTTTCAATGGCAGTGTATTATAGAATTACCTATCTAAAATAAAGCTTATTATTATATTTTAAATCAAAATAATTTTGTAATTTTCAAATTTACCACACCATTTTTTCTTTAATCTAAGCGGATTTAATTCATTTGGAACGCAATAACTTTTTTAAAAATATTATTTTTGAAAATTTTCTAACATGGGTATATATCTTTAAATATTTAGTAATCAATAATCATATAATTTTATGAATTTTTGTCAAACGTTTAAGTAGCATAGATTTTTTTTGGTCAGTTATTTCAGTTACAGCCTGTATATAATTTTTTTTATGTTGTTTTATTACGACTTGAAAATATGTATAAGATTATTTTCAAAAAAGTTAAATTTTTTCGAAATAATGATTACCTACCTTGTATTTTAAATATTTATTTACCTACAAAATGTTACCAATGTATCATGTAATTGAATTTTAGAAATGTTGGAGAAAGTAACAAGATCTCAGGCAAAATCTCAAGATTGGTATACTGAAAGGAAAAATCGTCTAACAGCCTCAAAGTTTGGGAAAATATGTAAGATGAGGCCTAATACTTCGTGTAAGAATACAGTGTATGAATTATTATACGGAAACATGAACCATAAAATAAAGGCAGTTGATTATGGAAGAGTTATGGAGCCATTAGCGAAATTAGAATTTGAAAAAAAAAATTGGATTTAATATTGTGTGTGTACAGGAGTGAGGAGTAAGCTTTGACAGCTTAGAAGTGGACAACTGTGATTTTCCAATAGCATAAACAACCCAACAGGTACCGAGAATACAATTACTACAAAGGAATGAAACTTACCTTGATCATTTTAGGTCGTGTTTGATATCAGTTGATTATTTAATAACAAGATGCTCAATATTTGAAGATGCACAATTAGTAGAGGGAAGGTATTTTTCTGAAGTAGTAGATTTAGGAAATGCTCGATGTTTGGAAATTCATCAAAAACGTTCATATACTTTTCCCCTTAGAGGTCAAGTAACGGATTTGCAAATGAACGAAGCAACATTAATATCGCACACAGTGGCAGGATCACTGGAAATTGTAGAAGCATGAATTTTAAATCGAGTAGAGGAGAATGGGAAAACGTCGTAGTATAAGCTAAATTCAAAATATAATTATCGAAGGTTCGGCTATAGCAAACACCAAAGATAACACTCTTATACTTCCGTCGGGTACAAAAATGAAATTATCCAATAACTATGTTATTGACACGTTTAACACGTTCACTGCGTACTGACGCCAATTGGCGTCATAAGTATCATTCAGCAACGCGTTTGACGCCATATGGCGTCTAATATACATTTAAAATAAATGGTTTAAAATTCCCTACGCGTGGCTGAATGTTATTTTATTATTATTTAGCGTGGATTAAACGCATGTTTTTAAATATGTATACATACGTCGTTATGAGCAGTTTCTTTATATTTTTTTTTTTAATTTCTTTTGTTTTTACTTTTATCATACGCACTGGGTGAAAACTGCAAAAAGACATACGCAGTGAACGTGTTAAAGATGAAACCGTATGGACAAATAAAAATTTTAATTGTGAAGGACGAGATTTCGTTATTTTACTTGATGGCCCAGCATCATTGATAACCTCGATCACTAGAGATAGCTCCAGTATACATACTGATACGGTACAAAACACACAGCACTTAAAAAGGCCGTTCTGACGGCCATAAAATATTATTCGTATGGCTAGCAAAGACCACTCAATGGCTTGCACATAACTTACATAAATATGTTGGTAGAAAAAATTGAATGCCGCAATCATTTACTACGGAATTATATGCAAAAATTGTCAGTTATAAGTAAGAAATCTTCATTTCCAATGCTTTTAAGAACATTTGTGGAAACACATACAATGCGATTTAGAAGTGCGGTCATTAGAGCTATAGCTCACCGTAAAAAACAATGTACATCTACAGCACAAAAAATGTAAGGTAATCAGTTGTACTTACCTATGCATTTTAAAAGTTATGTGTTTAATAAAATTATAATATTATTTATTTAATGTGTGTACCTAATAATTAATAATAACTATTATTCCATGATATTTTTGATTTAGCTAAAGATTTGCAAAATGGGCCATTTCACGTTCTTGGACAACATTACAAATGTGATAAATATTTTTGTGATAAAAAAACAAAAAGCGTAGAAAATTTGGTTCCACAAGCAATAGAAAGTGGCAAGTTAATGGAAATTTAATAATGCGGCCAATCGATTAGTTTTTAATTCTAAAACCTCAATCATGGATGTTGACAACAACATCTGTGAACAATTTAATAGTGTGATAAATAAATACATCGGTGGCAAAAGGATAAATTTATCCTTTTATATTTATATTTATATTATTTTATAGCAACTATTAGGTGATAATGACTAATGAGTAAGATATTAATATTTTAAAACCAGGTAATAGTGTAAATAATAAACTGTAGCGGATCCCATATGTGTGAGGCCGTTACATGGTATATAGTTAAGTATAAATAATAAGCAAATATAGATGTAGATAATAATAAGGAAGAAGGCTTACACAGTATAGTCATCCGGGTACACATATATATACACATTGTAATATAATATAAAAGAGACACATAATGTTAAGTTGGTTAGTTCTGGGACCAGTACAGCTGCCCGCTAACCAACGAAATCCGGAGGACGATAATGTAAGTAAGTCTTTCCGGAATATTATGTAGTTAGATATATTTTCCTTCATTTGAGAAAAGTTAACATATTTTTAAAATGACTTATTTTTTTTTTAGAACTGAAACTGAAGAAAATAGCAGAGTTAACATAAAAAAGGAATTAGATGTGATTGACATTGCGGAATTTAGAGGTAAAGCCATCCAAATCAAATCCGAGTCGTCAATTAAATCCTAAGAAAAAATAAATCGTATAAATTCTGATTTGACATCAAACAGCTATAGAAGGAAACATAACGAAAAAATGCGATATGTTTGTAATAGCTGTGATAAAGCTTTTTCTAACAAACAAAATTTAAAAAGACATGGAAATATATGTACCGGAGAGAGGTCGTATGTATGTATTAGCTGTGATAAAGCTTTTTCTAACAAACAAAATTTAAAAAGACATGGAAAGATATGTACCGGAGAGAGGTCGTATGTATGTATTAGCTGTGATAAAGCTTTTTCTAACAAACAAAATTTAAAAAGACATGGAAAGATATGTACCGGAGAGAGGTCGTATGCATGTATTAGCTGTGATAAAGCTTTTTCTAACAAACAAAATTTAAAAAGACATGGAAAGATATGTACCGGAGTAGCCGTCACCACATAAAAACGGTCCTTTTCAAGACCACTAATCAGCGGACAGTATGCTAGCACAAGCCACACACACTAACGTTAGGGACAATAACTAGGCCCCAAGTAACAGCACAACAAAAACAATAGGAGTTACATATAGGGGAGAGTCAGACGAATCTAACGACACCCTCCCCAAGTAAAACCTAAACCTAACCCAACAAACAGATAGCTCACAATCGGGCGTAGGGTGTTGCATAATGCAAGACAATAAACCAATCTCATATGCATCAAGTAGCTTAACCGAAACTGAGAAACAGTGAGCTCAAATTAGCTGTGATAAAGCTTTTTCTAACAAACAAAATTTAAAAAGACATGGAAAGATATGTACCGGAGAGAGGTCGTATGCATGTATTAGCTGTGATAAAGCTTTTTCTAACAAACAAAATTTAAAAAGACATGGAAAGATATGTACCGGAGTAGCCGTCACCACATAAAAACGGTCCTTTTCAGGACCACCAATCAGCGGACAGTATGCTAGCACAAGCCACACACACTAACGTTAGGGACAATAACTAGGCCCCAAGTAACAGCACAACAAAAACAATAGGAGTTACATATAGGGGAGAGTCAGACGAATCTAACGACACTCTCCCCAAGTTAACTACCCCAAAATTGAATAAACGACAGGACATCCCGTACAACTAGTAAACACTACTATACACGGCGGCAGCGGATAGTTTACTAGTCGGTACGGCAGACTGCTTATATACCGGACGTTTCCACACCATTGACACAGTCTTCAATATCTCTTCATATCTTCAACACCTACAACCAAAACGAAGAAACGAAGACCCGAAGACCATCCAGCACAGCGATCCAGCTGAAACTACAAATTACACCGATACGGCGGCGAATATACTCAACACCCGTGGCGGCAACCGACAAGCGCTGCGTTCCTGACCACCGCTACGAACGAAACCATCGACGCAGCGACGAATACACTCGTAGTACGGTGCAGCAATCGACGACCACAACTTATCCGTATTACACCACGGACATCATCATCACCGTAGCGGCGAAGCACTTATTGTACGACGCGGCAACCGACGAGCGGCGCATTCCCGTTCACGCCGCGGACGGAATCATACGCACCGCGGCGAAGACACTCGTCATACGAGGCGGCAACCGACGGGCATACAGTTCCTGATTACCCCGTCGTCGACATAACAGCGACATAATAGTTTCGGCGAACACGCATACCATCATCAGCGTCACTAACGCGTCCACGGTCGACCTACCATCGCGACCAATCAAAAACGGTTCTTATCAGAACCACCAATCTAACCACCCACCCTTAGTGTGCCTGCTAAGGCATCACTATAAGGCGGAATCAATCGAACACGACTTATTAAAGACCGTGGGAGAGCGATTCCAACTCATCCATTCATTATTATATAACTATTCTTATATTAAGTTATAAATCCCCGACATTTGTATGCTAAGTCGCACCTCTGCAGGTCCCGATACCGCCCGTTGTGGCTCGCTTCTTTAAGCCAGTCGCTCGGCCCGGAAATTAACTCACTTCCGTTAAATATATATAAAATAATACTTCTCTCAATAAATAAATGAAATTGTACATATATAGACACGTGTGCAATTATTTACGATCACGGGACGTCGGGAATAGACGGACCGCATCAATATACCGGAGAAAAGTCGTATGCATGTAATAGCTGTGATAAAAACTTTACTCAAAAATCAAGTTTAGCAAGATGCATACCGGAAAAAAGCCTTATACATGTAATAGCTGTAATAAAACCTTCAAAATGAAAAAACACACGCCTATGGAGAAACTAATTAAATAGTGGCTAAACCTGTGATAACACTCATGTTATCCTAGACCAGTGAAAGGTCAGCTATTAGAGGTTAGTAATGAAACAAATACATTGCGGAATTTAGAAGTAAAGCCATCCAAATCAAATCCGAGTCGTCAATTAAATCCTTAGAAAAAATAAATCGTATAAATTCGGATTTGACATCAAACAGCTATAGAAGGAAACATAACGAAAAAATGCGATATGTTTGTAATAGCTGTGATAAAGCTTTTTCTAACAAACAAAATTTAAAAAGACATGGAAATATATGTACCGGAGAGAGGTCGTATGCATGTATTAGCTGTGATAAAGTTTTTTCTAACAAACAAAATTTAAAAAGACATGGAAAGATATGTACCGGAGTAGCCGTCACCACATAAAAACGGTCCTTTTCAGGAACACTAATCAGCGGACAGTATGCTAGCACAAGCCACACACACTAACGTTAGGGACAATAACTAGGCCCCAAGTAACAGCACAACAAAAACAATAGGAGTTACATATAGGGGAGAGTCAGACGAATCTAACGAC